TGGGGGTCTTCCTCTTTTCCTCTGACCCTCCACCTTACCAAACATGATACCCTTCTCCAGAGACTGGTTCCTCTTGACAATATGAGAGACATTTGTTGTTGTTAGGAACCATCGAGTCGGTACCGACTCATAGCGACTCTATGCACAACAGAATGGAACACTGCCCTGTCCTGGGCCAATCTCACAATTGTTGCCACGCTTGAGCCCATTCATGCTGCCAGTTTGCCAATCCATCTCACTGGGGGTCTTCCTCTTTTCCTCTGACCCTCCACCTTACCAAACATGATACCCTTCTCCAGAGACTGGTTCCTCTTGACAATATGAGAGACATTTGTTGTTGTTAGGAACCATCGAGTCGGTACCGACTCATAGCGACTCTATGCACAACAGAATGGAACACTGCCCTGTCCTGGGCCAATCTCACAATTGTTGCCACGCTTGAGCCCATTCATGCTGCCAGTTTGCCAATCCATCTCACTGGGGGTCTTCCTCTTTTTCTCTGACCCTCCACCTTACCAAACACTATATCCTTTTCCAGCGACTGGTTCCTCCTGAGCTCTTGTAGTGTAGTGGTTACGAGTTGGGCTGCTAACCTCATGGTCAGCAGTTTGAAACTACCAGCACTTCCACGGGAGAGAGATGAGGCTTTCTGCTCCTGTAAAGATTTACAGCCTTGAAAACCCTGTACAGGGTCTCTGTGGGTCGGAACCAACTCCACAGCACTTAACTATCACTTCGCTTAGAGGTCATGAAAGTGTATAGATGATATTCTCTGCTGTGTGCTTTTCTCTATCCTCCTGGGACCAATTTTGGCCTGTTAGATAGACACACCTGGGTTCCTTCCACACCTCTGAGCTTACTTGCTCTGTATGTCTGCTCCTCTCTGGGTTGTCACAGTCCATCCAGGAAGAAGCAGTGTAGCCAGGGATGCTACAGAATTTTCCTAGAAGTTGCATAAAAAATGTATTCCAACTTGAATCAGTTCAAGAATTGTCTGCCCAGGTCAAGAACTTCCAGTTACTGATGCTCACTGAGGACACTGGGTTTCTTGATGTTGGGCATCTCTGAAGTTCAGACGTCAGAGGGCAGAAATATGGGGATCCTTAGAATCGATCATTAAAGTCAGGGCCTTGGAGAAAGATGATGATATGGTTTCCCAATACCACCTCTTCTTGTTCACCAAGGGGAAGACTCAGGATGCCTAAAGCTGTTCATCCCAAATTTATAAGGAGAATAAGGTAAAAAAAAGGGCTGCTAGTCAAAAAGAGGCGTTTGACTCTACCAGAGTAGAACTGTCCCTGGGAAATGCAACACACAAAACCATACTTGTCGTTTGTATCAACATGGGATACTTTCCTAGGGAAAGTTTTATTCGCAAAGAAGATATAGAGAGGGACTGGAAGAAGAGGAAAGAGGAATGGAGACCAGAAGTCTCAAGCTAAACCTGACTACTTAATTCTTTTGCCAAGGGAGGTGATGGACTTTGCCATATTGCCTTTCTACTTTGGCTCAGAACACTGAAAAAGGTGATCCAAGTTAGCTGCTAAGGCTGTATTTCAGACCCTCTAGGAATGTGGGCATTTTGGCTGGTCACAAGTATCTGCAGAATACCTGTGGAGAGATACTGAACCAATCTTGTCTGGTGCTGACCAGGCCATGACCATGGACCTTGGGAGCCATGCACTATGCAGTTGTGCAACTATAACAAAAACTAAGGGGTACGGAGAAGCCAGTCGTGCCCAGTCTGCCTTACAGACATACCTGGATGTGCTGTCAGAGGCAGCGTTGATTTCTGAACCTGGCCAGCTGACCCAGACTCCTGCACAGCATTATAGAGTGTGGAGCAACTGAAGGTTGAAGCCATGTGTCCTGGACTCTATCCATCCTTTATTGTTACTCTCCAGAGAGAATGGAAGACGTCAGATGGCTAGGATAGTTCCTCCAAATTCCATGATGAGAGGAAGGATAGAGAATGAAGTCAAGAAACTCACCAGGTGTGGGTACCAAGAAACCTCCAGTGAGATGGAAAAGTGGAGCCTGGTCTCAAAGGTATCCAGAACATATACCACCATCCAGAAGGTACAGGGTAGGGCAAACAAGACATTGGCTAGAAATGGGTCCCTCAAACCCTATCATAGCCTTTCCGGAACTGTGACAGGACAAATAAGCCGGGAGGAATGAGAGGTTCTGAAGCAGAATTTGCCTGCAGGGCTTAGCATCCCTGCTTCCAGTCTCTGTTCTTTCCAGGAGTCCATGCACAAGTACGACACCTTCCCATGCCTTTGCCCTGATCCCAGCATCTCTGTGTGCCAGAAAGCAAGAGGACCAGCCTTACTGGGATAAAGACCAGAGAAATACAGGGGTTTCTCTGCAGCAAGCTACAGTCTGCTATATTCACAATAGAGTGATCCAAAGGCAGAAGAAGGGCCACAGGCACACCCGAGGGCTGTATTGAATTTGGCCGCTTATTTAAATAGGAGGGATTAGAGCACCTCCTGCCTGTTTGGTGGGTAAGATCATGACCTGTTATCGGCATGAGGGGAGTAGTGAGGAGCAGGTGATAAAGAGAACAATGAGGGAGACACAGTATGCAAAGTCAGTGTGGCCCAGATGAGATAGGCCACTTGGAAACACTGGGCCCCCCTCCATCCACCTGTAGGACCATAGCGATCACTGCCAAGTAATTCATGTCTCTGGAGGTTTGCTCAGTCTACTGGTGGTGCTTGCTGACTTCTTTCACCTCTGAAGGCTGGGGTTGGGATGCCTGCACCAAGGAAGTAGCCCAAGTGTCCCATTGTAATCTAGCACCTTCCAAGAGAGTTAGCATCAGCTAATAGGGACCAACGAATTCTCTGGTGGCCAGAAGGGCTGGAGAAATTAGAATTCTTAGAAAGGACTAGCAGAATCATTGACCACTGTTTCAGCAGGGGCATGTGGTTGGGCAGGAATCCCTGGATGTACTTGATTGATGTGCTCCTGGCCAGGGCACTGGGGACAAGTGGAATCAGGGTTTTCCACCTTTAGCTATGGAAGGGTTCTTTATTTGTGTTTATGATTAAGCTCAGAGAACAGAAAACCCCACCACCAGTTTCAGGCATTACTTATTCAGGTGGGAACTGAAATACCATGGATTTAAATGTCATGTCTTGGGCCTGATATCTGCCCCCAAATTATACAGGAGAAGAGACTCTCCATGTCACTGGGGAGTATTGGCCCTTAGCCCTGCTCTTCATGCAGTGGGTACCCAGGGGCCAGCCCGCTGGCTTCCCTGCCCTAGCCCAGCTTAGCCCTAGGCAGGCAGTGGTGCCAGCCTCCTGCTCTCACCTGCTTAGAGACTTTGAGCCATGTCTTTTTGAGCCGAAAGATGGCGCTCCTGTTCATGGATGAGGTGATCTCCAGAACAGCATTGTAGTTATGTAAGCAGCGGCATATGTCGGCTACAGCCACCCACTTCTCAATGGCGCTCACCCTTGCATTGACGTCCTCATGACGAATGATTTCTGAAGCAATCAGGTTACTGATCTTTAAACCAATGCAATAAGACAAGAAAAAAGTAAGATAAATAAGCATCATAAAGATGATAAATTAATATTGATTGCAGATGATTACTTGAATGAAAATCCCCAAAGAAGGAATTGGAAAACTACAGAACAAATAATAAGAGCTTTGGAGGGTGGTTGGCTAAAGACTCAATGTAAAAAATAAAAATAACAAGTTTTTCTATATATCAACTACTGTTGTTGTTAAGTGCCGTTGAGTTGGTTCTGACTCCTAGAGGCCCCATGTAGGTTTTTTGAGGAGCAGCTGGTGGGTTTGAACTGCTGACCTTGTGGTTCGCAGTCCAGTGCTGATCCTACAGTGCCACACTAGTAATTAGATACAGTTGAAGAGAGACTTTGTTAGCTACAGTTGAAGAGATCAGATACAGTGAAAGAGAGAATTTGTTAACTATTAGACATGCTTATCCAAAGGTCTGCCCACAGAGGTAAGACAATAGGAAAATGTGACATGAACACATGAGAAAATTAGCTGAGGTTTCAGGAGAAAGTAATAATAATGGAGAAAAGACAAGACTCAAAAACAAAGATAATCATCCTAAGTTGATGAAAAACACAGATCTACAGATCCAGGAAACACAACATATCCTAATACAAATGAAAAACAAAACAAAACAAATTATGCCTAGAAACATTATAGATAACATCTTTAAAGCAGCTAAGAGTAAGATTACCTCCGAAGAACGATAGTTAGAATGACAAAAATTTCACAACAGCAACAACTGAATTCAGAAGGCAGTGAAGTAACATCTTTATAGTAGTAACCATATACAATGTTATGTACCCAGAAAAATTATCCTTTAAAGGTGAAACTTGTGAAATCTGAATAAATTCTGTGAATTATATACCAATGCCAATTACCTGGTTTTGACATTGTATTTTAGTTATATTAGTCAACAAGGGGGTGGGATAGAGGGTACATGGAACCTCCTTGTACATTTCTTTGCAACTTTCTGTAATTGATAATTATTTCAAGATAAAAAGTAAAAAGAAGGAAAACAAAAAAGACTAATTGAGATGAAAAAAAAAAAAAAATCAGGAAGGAAAAAGGACATTTACAGATGAACAAAAACTATATGGCTGTATCACCAGTGGACTTAAAAAAGAATTTATGGCACCCTAGGATTAGCACTCGACCTCAAGGTTGGTTTGAACTGCAAGGTCGCCAGCCGCTCCTTGGAAACCCTAAATAGGTTTGCTATGAGTCGGAACCGACTCAATGGCATTTAACAACAACACACATTAAGAAAAATGGATTGAAAAAGTATGGTTTGAGAGTCAAGAAAGAATGATATATTAAAATAGCACACAGATTCTAACTCTTAATTAAACTGAAGTAATAGTTGACATTTTTTACATAAATAAAACAATAAACTCTAACATTTGGAAATAATTATTCAAGGAACAGAACATTCAAATCTTAGACAAACTTCAGGAGGATAGAGGGACAAGGAATAGCATCAGTTTATGAGGCAGTATAACTTTGATACCAAACCCAGGGAAGAATAATAACCCACTCAAAACAAATCCACTGAGTCGGTTCTGATTCACAGCGACCCTATAGGAGAGAATAGACCTGTTCCGAAGGGTTTCCAAAACCATAAATGTTTACGGGAACTGACAGCTCCATCTTTTCCGCAATAGGTGGCTGGTGAGTTTGAACTGACCTTGCGGTGAGCAGCCTAGTGCTTAACCTACTGAACCACCAGGGTTCCTAGGGTTGGCACTAGGGTGAGGCAAATGATTTTGTGCCCTGTATTCCTTGCTTGCCTCACCCTAGATCTGACCCATGAACTGAAGATACTAGCTAGTGCCATTCAATAAGACAAAGAAACTAAGGCAACAAAAAGAGGATAAATAACACTGTGCCAGGGAGATATTAAGAAACACAGCTTCAGCTGCCAGGATCCCACCACCACGCAGGCACACATTCTGTGTATCTGAACAAATAATGATGGATTTCAACAGGGGTGGTCAGTTACAAGAACAGCCTTAGAGGCTGACTGCAGCGATGGAATGGAATTCGGCCTCCTGAGTCTCAGTTTCCTCATTCCAGAGTGAGAAGGAAAGGATTAAACGAGATGATGCAATGTCTGGCACAGGGTAAAGTCAGCAAATGTTCATCCACTTCACATTTTTGCCTTTTATTTACTTCATTTCTGGGAATACAGTGGGACAGTGGAAGGGAGAGGACAGGTTTTTTTTTTTTGGCTGCCTGGTTTAAGTTGTGTGCATAGTGTGGACAGGACAGATCAGCCTTCAGATGTGTTTCCTGGGGGTCTGTAACCTGGGGTCCTCCGTTTTGCTGCTGTGTTTATGTAGGAAATGTTGGGTGCTGAGGGCTGGGAGCTTCCACAGGCTCCTCCCCTGAGTGTCAATATCTCTGAGGCTTCCCCCAGAATGCAGTGTGTTTGGTGGGGCTTGTGATTGGGCAGGAATCCCTGGGTGTACTTGATTGATGTGCTCCTGGCCAGGGCATTGGGGACAAGTGGAATCAGGTTTTTCCACCTCTAGCTACGGAAGGTTCTTTATTTGTGTTGATGATTAAGTTCAGAGAACAGAAAACCACCCCCATCAGACTGTCAACGGATGTTGGAAGTGGTCACTGTGGTTACTTGGGTTGAGTCTGGCTGGACAAATCTGGGGAAATTGCCAGGGGAGCTATTTTTTTTCACAGCCAGAGCTGTGTAGCAATGGAAGGCCAAGAGCTGCTATACTTACTTAAGAGACCTTACGTATTCATCTTTCTGCAGCTTCTCTTTCTTGATCTAAAAATGTGACCATAGTCCCCATCTCTTAGAGTTGATGTGAGGCTTCAATGAGATTATTATGTATGAAAAGCACAGTGCTAGGCACAAGATGGGGACCGAGTTAGGGGGAAGTTCATACTTTTATTAGCTCACTTGATGAATGTTCCCGGCAGACATGAATCATGCTTCAGAAGTGGGGATAGATCAGGGGCTCCTGGGCCTTGTCTGGCCCCCAATTCTCTGCTGCTCCCATGTTTTCCTGAGATGGGTCTCTAGGAGCCAGGGGATGATGCCCCACCCTGCTGCTTAGTGTCCTAGGCAGTCAGTCCAAGCTTTCTTGACTACGTACACAGAGCTGCTTTGCTAGTTTTATCTCAAGTTGGTTCCCCAGGAAATTCATAACCAAAAGTTCAAGAGATTCTGGGGTTTCTGGGTAATATACCCAGAGACAATTTTCTAATCAAAGATTGTTTCTAGTAGCATGAGGAGGTTATTTAATAGACAGTGTGTAGTAAGGACTCAAACATAGCAATGATGGTGTGGATGCTGTAGGATCAGACACTGTTTTGTTCTGTTGTACATAGGGTCTCTATGATTTGGAACCAACTCGAGGACACCTAACAGACCAACACAATTAGGAAGTCTTTACTGCTTTCCTTCTTGGCCGCAGACTCCACAAAGAACCTGCTCTGATGAGTGGTCTCTGGTTCTGAATGAATATCCCTAAGGTTCCAGTGCTGAGCTAAGTGTCTTTACATGGTGGCCTCGTTAACCTTCACTGACCACTCTATGTCCAGTCCCATTTAATAGGAGAATAAACGGACTCAGGGAAAGTAACTGGCCCACAGGTGATGGGGTTGGAGTGGACCGGGTGGCCTGGCTCCAGCTGGGCATGTATCTTGCTCTCCACCCATTCTCCCGAGGGTCCTGCCAAAGAAATGATGGGGGAGGAAGGCACTGCCCACGTCATACTCACATCGTTGAAATGTTTAGTGGTTTTCATGATGTAAGGGGTTCTTTCGTTCTTTTCTAATTTCATCCATCCTTGTCCGAAGAACTCCCTGTGGGAAGTAAGGGGGAAACATGAGGTTGGATGACGAGGTTCAGTTTGCTGTGTT